TTCAGCTCACAGAAGGTGCAGATAGAAGTACAGTTCCCCCCCAGTCTAACTCTTGGCACTTGACAGAAAGCACTATGAATTAGACCCATCCTCTTGACCCAATAGACATTAGCTGTTGGGTTAGGAAAATGGGGGATAGAACCCCAATTTGAAGCTTATCCAGGAAGCGAAGATGTGTCTTTCTAGCCTCTTCCCATAGCTCTGCCCCCGCAACTCCCAGTGCTGGCTCAGGATGGGAGAAGGAGAAGGCACAGGAGGGAGGTCTGTTCTGGGGCTTCCCCAGCCTGAGCTAGAATGGGAGGGGTGGGTATATTGGAGTCCCCCACCTCAGGGGAGCTCCAGTCCACCTGCCCCACTCTCCGGTGCTGACTGGGAACTCCCAGTATGATCTCCCTCTGCTCCCTTGCCCCCCTCCCATTCTGAAAACAACAACAGGTTGGGAGCCCCAGCAGACACACGTTAAGGAATGGGCTGTGTCAGCCCAGCCCAGCTCTCAGTGAATACAGACACAAGTTAATGAAAGTGCTCCACTTTGGAGCGGCTTCATCTGAACCCTCATATAATGAGTGGCTGCCTTAGTTGTATGCAGCTCCCTTCCTCTGCCTACAGACCAAAGAACCAGGACACTCAGTAAATCATAACTACGTACAGGTTTAACATTAACAAAGAATTTACAACTACAATCATCAATTTATGTATATGTATATGTATATTTACAGTTATAAATTCACCCAAACACACTCTAATTAAACCCCAAACCCATGCATAGGCCTGGTTCCCTGTGGCCTTCAGGTTAGACTGCAGTGGGCCCTGCAGGCCCAAGGGGGAAGAGGTGCCCAAGAATAAACAGGGGTCTAGTTGACAAGGTCAATAACCAAACAACAGGCAGCAAAGGGTCAATAGTGAAATATCAGTGTAAGAGATTACATGGCATACAACACCTATGCATAAAACACTATATGCAAAATACAGGCAGTTTATAACAGTCTCCTAATACAAAATGAAAGGCACAGGGATCCCAACAACATGGAGGAGGGAAAAGAACAGGAGGCAACTGTGGCACACAGCTGTGCCCAAAAAAGAAATGACAGCCCGACGAGGAACCCCTTCACCCAATAGAGCACCCTAGACTCCACTCAGGCTACTCAACTGATAGGGCCCCTTAACCTGGGAACCCCCCTTAGCAAGCAGGGGCCCTGGATCCCTTGCTATACCCCAGGGCAAAATGTCCCCCTCCCATCAGGGGCTTCCCTTCTGTCACCCCAGCATAGCGGGCCCTCCTCCCCTGTGGGAATCCCTTGCCAGGGGGACTCACAACTCCCAGTGGGCCTGACAGGGCCTGACTCATCTCCAGGGGTGAGGCATCTCCTTACTCTGTGAGGAGGCCCCAGCTGCCCTGTGTGACTCTCCTGGTCTGTCAGCCTACTCCCCACCCTGCGCACCATGGGCCCTTTTTCCTGCCTTGTGCAAGGTTGGAGACCCGTGCAGCCATGGGCCCCTCAACTCTATGGCCTTGTGCACTGTTCTGTGCACCGATGGCCCTTTTCCTTCCTTGTGCAAGATCAGAGACCCATGCCACTTTGTGCAGCTGCCAAGGTCCCATCTGCTTCCTGACCCTCCATGCACCAGCTTGTGCATTGTCAGCCCTACCTCATGTTGGAGACCTGCTAGAGCATGTTGGAGTGCTAGAGCAGCCCTCCCTTCATTGCAGTGCTGAGCTGAAGAGGGGCGTGGCCAGGCCCTGGCAGGACACTCTGATTATGGAGGGGTTCCTCCCATACTTGCTAGTCAGCAGGGAGTCAGCAGGGATTTACACAGCATTTAGTTACACAGAAGGGAGCATTTATTGGCCCATCAACAAAACAAAACAAAAGGATCGCTCATTAATTCAAGCTCTTCATAAACAACTTGCTCCAAAGAGGGAAAGGAGGGACATTATCAGCTACCTGTTGATTAACTCCAAAAAGCCCTAAGTGGCACTGGCAGGCCTGCCTTTGTCCTGTCTCCCACAGCACAGACCATAGCCAGCATGTGATATGGCAGCTGATGCTGAGAGGTGTCTGTGTAAGGCAGAAGGGAGGGGGGCGGGAATCCGTACTTGAGCAGGGAGTAGTGAGGGGGAGGGTGGGGAGCAGGAGGAAGCCAGGCAGACACCCTATACCTGCAGTCTCTGCCCGAGCTGCAGCCATGGAGCAGAGGGGAGGGGCCAGTCCAGCTCCCTGGAGCAGAGAACTCTGCCCAGCCCAGAGAGCGTACCAGGATGCTGGGTGACTCTAATTTAACTTAAACCCAGAAGGGGTCTGGGACAGACATTGCATAAACTGGTTTTACCCAAATCAGTTAAATCTGATACTACATTCAGCCAGGTTTATCTCAAGCCAGTTTCAACCTTTTTCAAACCAATTTATGTGCACTGAACATCTGTTCTGTTGCAGGTTTAAACCACCTTCTGATCACTTAAACAGATTTATGCGTAATGTCTGTCCCTAGCCTTGGAGATCAGCTAGTTTCTGTAAAGATTCAGCTCACTGGGAGCATCTATATTTATAAAAAATAACAATTGCTGGCCTAAGGCTGTTTTTGATCATTTGTTCAGCTTGTGGTTGATTTGTGCTGGTAGGAAAATGTTAGAGCAGGTTCCTTATTTTCTGGTTCTGGTCACCTCATTTGCATGTCTCCTGCTGGGACCAGGGGTTAGGACTCATTTATGACTGTTTATTTATATAAGCAATGGTAGAATATGCTGGCACTAAATCACCATAACTTGGAAAAGAAGGGAATGTTCATCTAATGGTAAGTAGTATAGCGCAGGAGCAGACTACAGGGCTGGCTGGGCATTGGCAGAGCAAGTAGCCCATCAGGCAGTGGGAACAAATGCAATCCAAGTGGTTTGAGTCTGGCAACATTAAATTCTGAATTCCTACGATTTTCATTGGCACTGAAAATTAGGGGCTCTTGTGAGAGCTCATGCCATCCTCACACATCCCGTTCCAGGCATTTTGTATTGTGGTGACAGCTTCTTTCTTAACTGTGTACGACCTGCATGGGCTTAGTAAGTAAAGTGATAATGCAATACCTTTCCAAAAGCCAACATCTGAGATTTCACAAGAAACTGGGGATGGCTTAAAGAACTAGTTAGTTATACACAAGGGCTGTTTACAGATTGCTTTCAAAGAAGCACTATGTGGAGTGGCCAACCTATGGCACAAATGGCACAGGCAATCTCTGTATGTGGCCTGTGGCTGGTCAGGGAGGGGATAGGCAGTGGCAGCAGCCTGATAGCTGCAAAAAGGACAGGAAGCAGAAAACAGAGCAGAAGATCAGACAGGGAGCAGAAAGCAAAGGAGTAGATTGGGCTGGGGAAGGAGATCAGAGGGGCCTCCCATAAAAGGTTGGCCTCAGGTACCTAGTGGAGAGCACACTGGCTTGCAAGTCAGAAGAACAGGGTTTTAGCCCCATCTCTGTTCCTGGCCTGCTGGGTGGCAAGTTGCTGCACCATCCTGAATCTGTTTCCACACCTGTAAAATGAGAGGAATGATACCAGCCTCCTTCATGAAGCACTTTGAAATCTGATGGTAAGAAGTGCTAGATGCAAGGTAGGTGTTATTGGAAGAGAGAGATTTTTGGCTATAAGAAAGCTAGAAGTTGAGACTCCTAGAAGACTGTAACCAGTTTTTCTAGTTTGACACTAAGTGGGTTGGTAAATTCTGCACCAGAACCACATGCTCCTGGGTTTCAATCCCTGAGGTACAGAAAGGTTAAGGTCAGTGGTACAAAACTTGCTCCAAACCCCTATAGGCCATGCCAGTATCAGGTTAAAATGCCTGCACATTTATAGCTGCTTGTGAGATGCCTTGGGGATCATTTGCACCCTTTCACATGTTTTCAGGTTCACTGGAACCAGGAATGGCTTGGCTCTGGTGTATCTACAGAACCCATCTCAGGGAAACATATTTCTCCATGTAAGATTAGACAGTAATCATTAGGATGTAAACCAAATATGGGGGGATAATGAGACAGTGCCAAACAACCTGAGGCAAATGCTGGGGAAAGAGAAAATGCATTATTTCCTTCTGACTTTTCCACCTGGATCATAGCATGGAAATGCAGTCCTGCTCTCTGCAAAAGCAAATGATAATCTGGGCTGGAAATCTCATGAGATTTTAAATACAGTTCAAATTGGCCAGTAATACTAGTGAAGTAATCATCCCACACTCTCATTCCTTGGTAGTTTTTTGTGGAAGTCCTCACTCTCATTTTCTAGGTTCTCAGTATAGTTTACCCAGTTCGATTCAGATGGATTCTTACCTTTTGGGTTTTGAATTTATATAATCTCAAAAATTCAGTGAGCCCTAATCAGAATTGCCAAGTCTCATCCACTTTTTTCTGTAACCATTAGTTCCTGTCATGATTTTGAGACAAAGTCTCAAATGGCCCCAAAATTGCTTGAAAATAGGACCATAGTCATTTGACATAAAGATTAGACTGAGTAGAAAGTTGTAATTTAGATCAAATGTTTGGTGCTGTTCAGAGTAAAGATTAGACAGTTTTGCTCTGAACAGCAAAACTGTAGAACTGTAGGAGTAGGCTCTAATGGAGATGTGGCCACTAGAGACGTGGGAAACTGAGCATCATCAAACTCCTAGTAGTAAGTGGCCTAAGCAAGACTCAGTCCCTTAGGGAGTTAGAACCCATCACAACGTTTAGGTTTGGTTCAGTGCATTATAAAGTTCTGGATTCTTGAGTTCTGGAGTCTTAGCATCAGCCCTATCTCAGCTCAGGTCTGCAAAACTGGACAGGTTTGGCGTAAGTTTGAAGTTTGCAATTAAATTAGAAATGCATTGGGTTTAGCAACAAAATTTTCCCACATCTTTATCTATTAAGTCACATTCTCTGCACATTTCTCCTGTCTCTGAGATGCAATTTTTTTCTGGACAAATAATGACACCTATTTACTCCATCTCAGTGACCCAAGTGTTTTATATATCTTTGTGTTGCAGGTTTGCACCTGGAGAAGCCAAGTTGAGTTGCACGGACGATGACAAGGAACAGTTTCAGTTCAAAGACATCAGGGATGGATTCAGTTCTACCTTTGAAAAAATTGTGGAGTCAGACCTTATGAAGGGCACCTACTACAGCAGCCTGGACTCTTTAGATGTACTCTCCCTCACTGATGAGACAGACAGCTGTGTCAGTTTTGAGGCCCCACTAACCCCATTGATTCAGCAAAGGGCTAAGGAAAGCCCTGAGGTTTTAGAACAGAAACTGATTGCCCAGCAGAAAGAGTCCCTTCAACATATGGCAGCTGATAAGCAAGAGCAGGCAGCGGCAAAGCCTGCAGAGGGGGATGTTGGAAGTCCCTTGAGGCACTCTATTACCAGCAGCAGGTCAGAGAATGTGTTGAGCCGGTTATCCTTGAAAAACATCCCCAATGGGTTCCATGTCGAGGGATCTGAGGAAGATGCCTCAAAGCTGATTAACTCCATCAGGTAGGGATGAAAGCATCTTTTTGTTCTATGTTTGTACAGGAACTTTCCAGTGAATTCAGATAGCTGTCTTCGTCTTCCATTCACAATGGTCATGTGTGTAGGAATCATTCAGCACTGCCATTGTTTAGTAAGCTGTTGACCTTTCACCTTTAGAAACAGTATAAAATGTCCCTTTTCAGACCTTATGCAGCAGCTTCTCTGCAAGTTGAACAGTGACAACTTTGCCCATGTGCA